TTTCAAATAGCGTGAATATGAATCAAACTATTATTATTTTTTAATAAATTATGTTTTGTACCTATATTTTTTCTAAATACAACGATAATTTTTACTGATTTTTATAAAGAATGGTCAAGTAGTTTTTGCAAAATATATTTTGATTATTATGAAATCGAAGAAAAAGTTCGTCCTTCATTATTTATTCATTATTTATTTTTATTATTATTCATTTATTAAATTTTTTTACATAATTTGCACTGTGTATCTACCACTAATATTCTTCCTCGAGTATATTTCAGATTTTTTATGTTAATATTTCGATATTGTTTATCATGCAATAATATTCCTTGTATATTTACAACGCTTGATCTTTAAATTAACTGTTCATTTAAGAGGATCAGTTTATGAAAATTTTATATTTTAGTAATTGTTCTTATCGAAACAATCTCATTTCATAAATTAAATTTTAGTTTAAATGACTGTTACAACATATTTAGAGTAAGAACTGAATATATATATATATATATATATATATATATATATATATATATATTTGTGTAAGATTTAAATGTTTGAATTAAATTATATTTGGTTTAAAATTTGATCCACAGAATTGGCCCCTTAACCAAAATTAAGGGGCCAATTCTGTGGATCAAATAGTTATGTTATGTTACCAGTCTCTTTTGTCAAAAAGATATATTATGGCTGTTAAATCGAGCAGTATACACTACATCGACTTCTAAAATCTAACCTCTAAATGGCACACACGTCAAAATATAACATTAGTTCGACTTCAAGCGTGTGTTTTTATAAATGACATCAACAAGTTGCACTTCTGATAACATTGTTTTCAAGAACAAACTTTTGAATAGTTTGTGACTACCAACTCATATGAGTATTCAACAAAAGAGACCAGTAACATTACTATGCCTATAAAATAGTTTAACTTCATAGTGTAATTTTATAGATGTCTCTTGAGTAGAGTAAGGCGGTGCACAAAGGTCCAATTTCACTTTGAGCATTTATATTGTGAAAACCAAACTGAACTTAATATCACAACAAATAAGACCTATCAAACAAATCTGACTGTGTCCAGCTAATTTATCATTATAGAAATGTTTTTTTACTGTTTTCCAAAATTTGCCACCTAGTCTTTTTTACCCCATAAATGGAATAAATTCGGAAGGTCAGCCCGCAAACAGGTTCAATATCTCATTTTTAATTTTAAAGAAATTTAGGAAATAATAGATGCATTATCTAATTATTTTTTTACAGAGATAACACTGTATAGAACCTTGATCGGGTATTTCGTCAAAAATAATTATCAGCAGAGTTGGAATAGCTATTTTTTTCTTAGTTTAATTTACTTTTTTATATACTATTTTTTATTGTTCATACCTGTACCAGGGTAAAAGCTCAAATGGTAAAACTAACACTAACTAAAACTAACAATATATTTTATAAACAACGTATACCAATTAAATAAGGTATATTAAGGTCTCGCAAACTAAACAACAGTGCTCACAACCGAAAAAACTGACAGCAAAAGAAAATCCATAACTTTTCATACATTGTTGTAAATCTCCCAAAAACTCTTGACTTTACTTGTTTTTGAGATATTGGTGTGGGATTTTTACCCGCAAATTTTTAAGCCCCGCTCTACTCTATATGTCATAATCATTACTCAATTAAGAAATCGGGTGACATATGAGCTCATGTATTTGCTTAACTTTATTGATATAATAAGGACTAATTTCGTGATGACAATGAGAACATTAAATCCTCGACTACGCACAGCTGATTACATGTTTTTTCTCTTTTAATGTTCCATCGGAGGCACCTTAATGCCGTCGACGGCGGCTTATCCCTCGCTAAATTCGTGCAAATAGCCGCCGCGTAATTGCGTAACCCTCGAGTAATGGACTGTTTCTAATAACGACTCGACTTGTATTCGCTCGTTTGGAAACTTTATCCCGATGTACGCATTATCCGGCAGTACCTTCTGCTTTTCCAAGAAGTCAAGTATCCCCCGTTTCTACTAAAGTTCGAACGAAGTTTCGAGTGAGTTAGATCAAAAGTTTAACATAATCTGGAATGCGATCGAAAAAAATATATCATTTAACAATTAGTGTCAGCGGAAAGGAAATAAGCTCAAAGTGTTTAAAGTTGTACTGATGGATCTGCGGAAAAGTCGGATACAGGGATGAACGGAAAGAAAGTTTTCAAAGTAATATATTTGCGTCGGTTTAGTATCTTTGATTTGATGATTAAATTTATAATTATTTGCCTACTAATACAAACTTATTTTTTCTGGCCTATATAATAATAACTTGGTTTACCTTGTCACGTAATTCGCTACGTTACTTCATTTACTTACTATTGTTATATAATGATAGGTATTTTTTGACTGGTCCCAATTCTAAAGTAACCATACGTCCCGGTTTCGCCGGGACAATCTCGGATTTACACCTCGTGTCCCAGGATTTTTTAATAGCAATATTTGTCTCGAATTTAGATTGTTTGTCCCAGATTATACCAGCTTTCCAAAAATGTATATGTAGGTAAATTACCAAAAATTATGAAAATAAACAAACGAGAGCTATTTTTTTTTCAATTAAATATGAAGAAAGTGGAATAAAATTGTATTCATGGCTCAAAAGCGAAAAGTATGAGATCTAAAAATATAATATCGTAGATAAAAAAGTATTACATATAATCGAAAAATTAAGTTCTCACTAAAAGTCCGCAATAATGATTTTAAAAAAGGTTCATATTAAAAATAGTTATGTTTTATTGTATCTTTAATTAGCATTTGTTATTTTAAAGACCTACCACACTCTCCGACTGAAAAAATTACGGTCACCTTACAATTCAAAAAGAACGGCATAATTTGCAAAAGAAAAATATTATCAATAGTTTTGTAAACAATTTGAAGTTCAATATTTCACAATTTATGAAAACAAATTTTATGAAAATAAACGAACAAGAGCTATTTTTTTTTTTAATTTAATATGAAGAAAGTGGAATAGAATTGAATTCAAGGCTCAAAGGCGAAAAATATAAGATCCCAAAATATAATCGAAAAATAAAGTTTTTACTAAAAGTAATAATGATTTAAAAAAAAGATTCATATTAAAAAACAGTCATGTTTCATTGTATCTTTAATTAGCATTTGTTATTTTAAAAACCTACTACACCTCCCGACTTAAAAAAATTATGTTCACCTTACAATTCACCTTTAATAACTATTTCAAAGTCAAAAAGGACTGCATAATTTGCAAAAGAGAAATATTATCGAAAGCTTTGTAAACAATTTGAAGTTCAATATTTCACAATTTCTTTTAATTCAAAGCATTTCAATATCTTAAATCATTAATTATGTTTGGTAATTAATAAAGAATAAGAACTTAGCTCTCAGAACAAAATTATACTCTCTAAAGTTTGCCATTTTAGTTTTTGTTTGTGTTTTATATATTTGTGTGTAAAATTTCTATTTAAATTTTTTAATAATAAATAATTAAGTTATTTTTAAGTTATAAGTAATAAATAAAAGAAATACATTTAACTATTTTTATATTGTATTTATATTGCATTTTAATATTAGCAAATATGCTAACACCAATAATAAATGTTTTTGCCAATTATTGAGATTCACGCTTTATTTCATACTATTAATTTCATGTGTAGTAACGTTATTGTTTTTTTATGCTGAATTTGTAGACATAAACGCCATGAATATAATATAAATTCATCTCACAATCAAATGTAATCATCCCACAATCAAAAGTTAATTTATACCATTATTCATCAAAAATATAAAATATGCCTTATTGTGCAATAAGTGTTCATATTATCTGAAAATGTAATATAGAAAAATACAAAATCAATAAGGATTTTCATAATTATTTAGCATGTTGGTAGATTATATAATACATAACATTGATATTATGACAAATTGTCCATTTTTTGCAAACGCAAGCTTTTATCGATATGTAACACATGAATCTTATCTGAACTCTTTCTAGATTTTTTTAAATGTTTAATAGCTGAAGATAATTGAAATTTTTTTTAAACTATAAGACATTATATACAATTCCGTGTTTGCATGAATATTTAACAGCGAAAACATTATTAGCGAAAATAAATATTTAATGCACTATACATTCTTGACCCCAAAACAAATTTCATCTTTATTATTATTATGATAGTCATGATAAAAAGATACTACTTAATAGAGGATTACAGTAGAATGAAATTTGCGTTGTTTTAGCTCTATTCAAAAATAATTTAAAATCTCTCGGAACAATAATTTCATATCACAAAAAAACTAATTATTAGTTAATTAATAATTTAATTATTATTAATTAAACCGAATTATGAGGTAGCAGACTAATTGACTAATAGATTTTTTTATATATAGAGTTTATTTGTTAGAATATATATCATGTTTGTTATATTATTTGTGTTATTCCCATGGTATTCCTAAAATGTTTTGTTTCTGGTATCTCACAGTATACATTTGATGTAACAAAAAGGTGAATAAAAATAACTTTTGTTGTGTATCTTTTACAGGTACATTTTCATCATAAAATATAATAAATAGAAAAATACATCACAAAGTTTATATAACACACCAAGTTAATAAACAACACCCCTGATCACAATCATGTCCAATGACATGATCATTATTATGTTTATTAATATGTATGTTTCTGTAGTTTTATTCCATAATAATTTAAAACATGTCAAAATAATAATTTCAAATCACACACAATACTTTATTTACAGCATGGCGGAGTGTGAGGTAGTAGCTGCCCCCAAAGCCCCGGTTCCCCCGCCGCCCCCTCCCCGAGCTTCACACGTAGCAGCTGCGGCCGCCGCGAGTGCAGCTGCTGCTACGTCCGCTACGTCTGTCGCCCCTACGTCAGCTGTTAATACAGGTAATAGAATAAAAGATTCAATATAAAGTTAATAAATATATATAAATTGTTTGTTACATAATTGAGTAATTGATTTTATTTGATGCTTTTCATTAAGCAAGGCAAAGCTGTCGTTTTTGTTTCTAAAGAATTTGTAAAAATATTTTAAAAAACTAATGTTTCTGTATAAACCACTTGATAAAATAAACTTTTTCACAAATTGTTAGTAATGAATGATATAAATAAAAAACTAGTGGGGTGGGTGGCATCGTGCCTTAAGGCAAATTGCTGGAACTTCCCGTACCGTAACGAAATATTCGAGGAATATTGAATGTTTTCAAACAGATTATTATAAATATTGTAACATTGTCTAATATTTATAAGAATTATATAAACTGAATTGCAGAGTTGAAATTATTTGTTTAAAGTATATTAGAACTTTAGTCAGAATTAAAAATAAAATCTGAATTATTTTCGATACACAAAAAATTAAAAAAAAAAAAAAAAAAAAAAAAAAAATGGTACAATTTTTTTTTCCCAAAATCAATTATTTTGTTAAGACAAGCAGAAAGTTCTTTGAATCAATTGAATCGGACGCTTAGTTCTCTCAAAAACTGCCATTTTTTGTACATTTAGCTCTGTATCTCCGAAATGGCTGGGCCTGCCTTTGCGAAAAACTGATAACCCCTTCTCCTAATCATTACTAATTGAATGTTTTTTAGATCATTCAAATCGGATGCTCCGTTCTCTCAAAAACTCGATTTCTATTTTCTGCACTCTTTGCTCCTTATCTCCGTAACTGCTGGACCTGCCTTTGCCAAAAACTAATCAGCTCTTCTCCTTATTAATAGGAATCGAATGTTTTTTAAACCATTCAAATCGGTTGATCCGTACGCCCGAAAACGTGGGCGAAAATTTGTATCCATACATACATACACACACACACACACACACACACACACACACACATCCATTTTTTCTGAGGTATGCCAAAATGTTCAGAAACCTTCAAAACGTCGAGAAATGTAAAAATTTTCAATTCCGATTTTCGGCCCATTACAATAACTTACCCTACGGGAAGTTAAATATACATTTAAACATTAAAACATTAGAATTTTGAAAAACTGTTTAACTTAAACATTTTATATTAATAATCTCATGCATGAATTAATCAATGAAGATATTAGTGTATAATAAAGCCATCTAAAATTATCATTTAATAAAAAATAAGAATTTTGAAAGACTGCTTAACTTTAAATATTTTATATTTTTAATCTCGTTTATAAATTAATCAATCTACATATTGGTGCATATGACTAACTAAAATTATCATTTAATAAAAAATAAGAACTTTAAAAATGACTGTTCAATGTAGACTTTTTATATTAATCTTGTATATAAATTAATTAATTGATAATTTAGAATTTTGAATATTGGTTTCTTGATGATTTTTTTTATTAAATATTAATTTAGAAATCTTGAAGCCCTTTAAAAACATAGAAATTTGCCGCAAGCGCAATGCAACAAATCACTAATTCATCTGTTCAAAGGGGTCTGCTGGTCTAAAATTGAAAAAATAAAACTGTTTATTATATTTTGACAATTTAACTACTCAAGAACATGGGAACAAGACGATATTTCAAAATTATTTTCGAAGATATAGCTGTTACGACAATCATCCTCTTTTTCCTTCCTGCACGCAAGATGTCTTTTTAGATAGCATACCCACGATTTCTTAACTTCTACTGGGTTGATTTACTTTAAAGTTTTCGAGAGTCTTCTTTATAGACTTCTCTTCTGTATGAACTAAACTCATGTCCAAATTCCGAATTAAATACTCGTATTTTTAAAAAGACTAGATATAAAAAAGTCGTTTTTTTAAATAATAAATAAAGACCAAATTCATGGTCTTGAAAAATAATGTATATGATTCACATTAAATATATGCACACACAAAAAAATATTCTGTGAAAACAAATTATTTACGATTACGATTGCGACATTATTCTAGATTAATAATATATTTTTAACTACCCGTAGGGTAGTTATTGTAATGGGCCGAAAATCGAAATTAATTTTTTACATTTCTCGACGTTTTGAAGGATCCTGAACATTTTGGCATACCACAGAAAAAATGGATGTGTGTGTGAGTGTTTGTATGTATGTATGGATCAACCGATTTAAATGGTTCAAAAAACAATCGATTCCAATTGATAGGGAGATGTGCTGATTAGTTTTTAGCAAAGGCAGGTCCAGCAATTACGGAGATAAAGAGCAAATAGTGCAGAGAATAGAAATCAAGTGTTTGAGAGAACGGAGCATCCGATTTGAATGATCTAAAAAATATTCAATTAGTAATGATTGGGAGAAGTGTTTATTAGTTTTTGACAAAGGCAGACCCAGCCATTTCAAAGATACGGAGCTAAATGTGCAAAAAATGGCAGTTTTCGAGAATATTAAGCGTCCGATTCAGATGATTTAAAGAACTTTTTGCTTGTCTTAACAAAATAATTGATTTTAAAAAACAAAATTTTTTTGTTTCAACTTTTTTTTAATTTTTTTTTACAAAAAAAAAAATTTGTATATCGAAAATAATTCAGATTTTATTTTTAATTCTGACTATAGTTCTAATATAGTTTAAACAAATAATTTCAACTTTTCAATTCAGTTTATATGATTCTTATAAATATTAGACAATGTTACAATATTTATAATAATCTATTTGAAAACATTCAATATTCCTCGAACATTTCGTTACGGTACGGGAAGTTCCAGCAATTTGCCTCAAGGCACGATGCCATACGCCGCACTAGTTCATTTTTTGGATTAATTAGAGGGCTAAAATCATGGGTATGGAAAAGTACAAAGTTTTTAAGACCTCCCATTTTTTTCCTAGAATTAAAACTTTGACTATTTTCAATATGTATTTTTTATGTTCTCAGAACATTAATTAATAACTTGTAAAAAGAAAGTATAGTTGAAATATTATTTTCCTTTTTCTACCTCTTCCCAAAATCGCATAGAATTTATGTCTCTAGAACAGAATAAGTTCTCAAAACAAAATATAAACAGAATATGCTTCAATTTTAGTTTATTCATATTTTGTTCTTCGATTTACTAAATTTATAGAAAAAGCATATTCAATTAATATTTCTATTTTTCAGCACCGACCACGACGATGCAGCTGAACGGCACAGCACCGCAGCCAGGCGACGGAACGGCAACAGCGGCTACAAACGCACCCACTCAACTCGCAAACGGCGGAAGCGAAATCACAAAACATTCGACCAATAACAATATTACGGAACGAGCTTCATTTTTCAAAAACTCTAAACTTTCATTAGAAAATAATAAAAACGGTTCATCGACCGAACACCAAACGACAATTATTACGAACGGTGGAGCGACCATACGGGATAAATGTGATAACACGACCAACGAATCGGTTCGTACGAGCGTTAACGGTGTAGTGTCATCGGACAGCGCGGCCGAGAGCGGCAGAAGCCACAAAACTGATCGCGATGGGGCTGGAAGCTCGAATGCCGAGAGCGGTAAGTTGTATAATATTGAAAGAAATGGTCTGACATTAGTCATTAACCCTTTCATGCTACGAGATGAAATTTCAATACCGGTATTTCGGTAATTTTTCATTTTAAAACCGGTATACCGGTAAATTACCGGTATTTTTATTATCTTAAACAAACGTAAACAAAATTGAAAGTTACTAGTACAAATATAAAAAATTGTATATACAACTACAACTAAATTGAACTGAACAATAAAGACAATAAAATAAAGCAATAAGTTTATTTCTTATATAATAATTTAACAAAATTATATCAAATTTAATTAATTTATTATCACTATCGAGTATATTGAGTTCTTTTCACCAAATACAAACCTATGAGTAAGAAAGACCAAAAACTCATAAAAGATCATATTACAATATTATAATAAACTGTATTGTCTGTATCCGATGTGTTAAATTAGCATAATCTCCAATATTTTAAAAAAATAATTTTCTACACTAATTTAAGATCGGATACTTTGTCGAGATAAATAATAAGTTACTATAATTGTTAAAACAATGTGATGCTTCTATAGTATTTTCACACTTCGAAACGTTTTCGAAAAATAATATTTTATAATTGTAATAAGAAGCAAAAATATTTAGTAATTATCATAATTATTATGTATAAAGTTGGAAAAAATAAGGATTACGCAGACGTAATCTGTATGATATAAAATATTTTGGCGCAAATATCACTTAAAAACCCGTTACATTTTTACATAAGATGAAACAAACATCATTATCTATCAGTCCAATTCTATTTATTGTAACACGATATGAAGCCCTTTCGAAAGCAATAAATATTCAGTTTAATGACGAGTGCAGATAATATTTGACATTTGTTTATCTTATAGAATCACTTGCAGATATAGCTGTTTATGCGATTATGGAATTTAAAGATAAATTTGTTCCGAGAAATTTAAACTTTAGTGTATTTTGTATCAAATAGCGCTTATGTAAAAATTCCGAAAATACCGGTATTTTTGGGGTAAATACCGGTAAAAAACCGCCGAAAAATCGGGCAGTTTACCGGTAATTCGGTATACCGGTATACCGGCTACGAGAGTGTCGTTCACAGGAGTGACAATGCTGTACGGAACACTGTTCCGCTTAGTAGCGCTACTGATGCTGACCATAACAAGCACGCCATTTCTTTATAATTTTTCTATCATTATTAACAAAACTTGTTTCTTTATTATTTTAATGGCCTCGCTTACTCGAGCATTTAGTCACCTACAATATTACTTGTATACAATCTTCAATTTCATTCTATCTTCTTCATATAATTCTTATTCTTCTTTATACTTTGTCAACTTGTCATCATTCTTCTTTTTTCTTCTTTACTATCTACCCATTTCATCTCCTAATTTGTTCCTGCTTCTTCTACTACTTCTATTCATTTAATTCCAATGTTTTATTATTTATACTTTCTAATTATTCTTACATACATATTCTTCATTACAATTCATAATTCTATTATAATTTCAAATTATTTGCCTGGGATTCTAACTCAGAACCTCCAGCATGTGAGTTGGAAATGTTACTCTGTGAGCTGAACCCGCCACAAACAAAATTTGTTGAAATGTTAAAAATCACGTTCTTAATAAACTAAAAATTACAATAAAAAATTAGAATTTACAATATTTTAACTCATAATGATAAATCTTGAAGCAAAGCATGTCTTCCATAGACGACACCTGTATGCACAGGTAGTCCATGAACGACACTCGTAGCGAAAGGATTAATATAGAGAGAAAATACAAGCGAAATGGCTTATATGGACAAAATAACACAGTGGACTTATCTCAAAATTGGCTAGTTTTTATAACGTTTCCACGGCTGTATGTCGTGATGAAAGTCATAATTACAATCCTGTCAGATGTTGATCGTCATCTCAGTCTTGGCGCAGCAATCAGTTGGCGCAGCAATCAGTTCAAACGTATATCGCGCATTCAAAAGTTTATTTTGAGGGTGATTATTTTATGATTCTTGGGAACCTATCTATTGCTTTTTGTAATTACTTCTATTAAAATCAATAAACTCATCCTAGTCGTAGTGATTTCGATTAATTCTAAGTAATTAGGTGCTTCATGGAATTTAGAATAATTAATCATTTTTGTTCACTTTCGGACAAAATGATATATCTACTTAGAGACGTTCATTAATCACTTGAGGTTTAAAGGGGGAGACCTTGTTTGACCAAAAATCACGATATATCACGTGGAGGGAGGGTGTATCGTAAGATATCAAGCGTATTTATTTACGTGGATTTAAAAAAAAATCTAAAAAAATCCAAAAATTTAACATTTTTATGTGCTAAAAATACTTGCGATGTTGAGTAGTAAAATCGATATTATTATTATACAGCTATATTTTACGCATGAAAGCAATGAGCATTTTTTTTCTTCGATATGTTGTATTCTTTTTATGTTAAGTTTTTAAGTTTCTCTTATTAGATTTGTGTAAACTTAGCATAAACGCAAAATTATTTTATTTTGTACGTCTCCGAAACTTAAATTTATATTTCTAAATACAGATATAACTTTATATTTGCTTATATTTTTACTATTTATTAAGAATATGGTAAGCAAAACAATTGTTTATGCTTAAAGGTATTACATATTTTAGGCGTATTGTAAAGGTTTTCATTTAAATTTTTGTTGATCTAAATATAAAACATTTGTCTGATATTTGCAAATATAAAATATTTGCTGATATTTTAAAATAACTATTTTTTGCATCATAATTTGGATTACAGTTACCATTCAATAGATAAAACGCTTAATATTTATACGAAACGTTTGAAAATGGATGCATTTATATTTATCGGTTTTCATTTTACAGCACTGAATATAGTGTTTTCAATTATTTTTATATGATAAAAATACTTTGAATAATTAAAAGCGTTAAATTAAGTAAACAAGCTTTGAGAGTGTTGGTTACACATGTGATAGAGTATTTATAAATATAATGGATGGTAACACCGCAAATAAATATTGTTTTAAGTGAATAAACTCGGAAAAAATTATACCATTAAAAAATCCACCGTTAAATTTTTATATGGCAGTTTAATAAATAGATATAGAGATAGAGAATAATAGATTCATATTTGATATATTTATATATATATATATATTTTTTAATTGCATCACTTTGCGAATAATATCATAATTCTGGTAGAGAATTTAGCAAAACGCATATAATGTTTACTACAGTTTGTTTATTTCTCAATATCATCTAATTCGCGAAAAAATATGGAACGGAAATAATATGGTAAATCTGGAATAAAATTAAAATTGAAATACTTGTGGAAGGCCATTGCAAGTTTATTAAATTTCGTAGTTTTGGTTGTCAAATCGAATTTGACTATCTTATATTCTGTTTTATTAAAATCTGCATATCAGCAAGAGCAATACACCCATGTATCATTTTATCAAAGATATTACACGCTTTTAACATAAAAATTCGCGCGAATTAACCATTACTTTTGAAAGAATTGCCTAGTTATTTATCCTGGTGTACTAATATTACCCATATTACTTTTTCTCCGATCCTCTATATTTATGCAGGACAGATGGCACAGTGATTTGCATATATATACATGCGTTGTGTCCTTTCACTATGTGCCCAAAAAGAGGTTTTTTCCGGGTCCAAAAATAATCAGATAAAGAGGGTCGACTTCAACATGAAGCGAACGTGATAGCAATGATTATGTAATTTGTTGAACGAGGGAGCAATTTTTTGACAAAAATACACCCTGCAATCATTATTTGAATTATTTATTCTGTCATTTTTCTTGCTGAGTTGTTCATATACTACATCCTTTGAGGTAATATTTTATCATGTTTCAAGAGGTTTGAATTTGTGTTTTCTCTTTCTTTCTCGAAAGTTATGAGACGGTTTATTTAAAAAGAACTGTACTTATTAAATTCTAAATTTTGCTTCTAACCCATTTGTTTAATTCATTGATAGATACTAGTTTGTAACTATATATATAGTAATAGTATCATCAAAATAAAATTGTAGTGAGTATTTAGTTGAACTTACTCTTATTGTTTTTTTAGATTCTTTACTAAAAAGTTACTATAAATTATAACTTTTAGAGTTTCAACTATTGGTTAAAATCCATATCTATGTTTGAGAAATACTACCCATATATTTAATGTCTAATAGTAAGCAACAGGAAAACTGGCTAGTAAAATGCTAAATATATGATGTTCTATAATATTCATTATCACTTAAAATTGGTATCATTGGTTTGTTACAGTTTGACAGGGATAAATCAATCACGAATAAAAGTACTTTAAATAGACCTATTGATTCTGAAATATCTAAATATTGGGACTACAACATAAATATTACCTTGAACTACTGAGAACCTCTTGTTACCTAGCTAAATTTGCTCCTATATGTAAATATTTAATCAAGGTTATTTTAGGTAATAATATTCATTTTTTTCTTACAACACACGGTCAAAATTAATTTTTCTTATTGATATATATCAGCGATTAGAACTTACAAATTCAAATAACCCGTTGTTATGATTTTCTTTGACTTCGTGGCTTCTTGAGATGGAAACTAAACAGTATACTGCGAGCTATATTTTCAAATAGTCATGAAGATATGAAGCTGTAGGCACTTTTATGTAGTTCCAGCATTCTAAAATACAGAACTTCGTTCTCAGAATCGTTTACTATAGCTCGAATCAGTGCCTGTTGAAGATCTTATTCATCTTCATTACAATTGCAAAAACATATTATTTATTTCAGAAGCAAACCTATCTGTCTCTCCTAAAGCCTACTTGTCTTTGATGTTATTGAAAATTTTCAAACGATGATGACTTTTTATTTGATGCATCAATATATACTGATCTCTATATTTTCAAATGGTCAGAAAAAGAGGAACTTGAATATATTTTTATGTAGTTCCATCAGCATTCTAAAATACAGAACTCAGTTCCTAGAATCACCTACTTTAGCTGTAATCAGCGCCAGCTAAATATTTTGTTCATCTTGCAATAGATACTATTTTATTTCAAAACCTAACAGTTTTCTATCTGACTCTTCTAAAGCTTAGCTGTCTTTGATGACATTTAAAAATTTTCTATTGTTAATGACTTCTCATTTGATGCATAAATATTTATTGCTATATATATTTTCAAATGGTCAGAAAAGTATAAAGCAGTTAGTACGTATTTTTATGTATTTACATCAGCATCTAACATACAGAACTCACTTCCTAGAACCGTCTAATATAACTCTAATCAGTGCGTGCTAAAGATCGTGTTCATCTTTAATACAATTACAAGTAGATATTAATTCTTGCAGAAGCAAACCTGATAGTTTCCTATCTATCTCTCTTAAAGCCTATCTGCCTTTGCTGATATTTAGAATTTTCTAATAAGGACCGGAAAAATATGAAACTGTAGGTATTTTTATGTAGTTCCATCAGCATCCTAAAATGCAGAGCTCAGTTCCTAGAATCGTCTAATATAACACCAATCAGTGCATGCTAAAGATTATGTTATTCTTCATTACAATTACAAGAAGATATATATTTCAGAATCAAACCCAATAGTTTCCTATTTGTCTCTCTTAAAGCCTATCTGTCGTTGATGATATTGACAATTTTCTAATATTGATGACTTTTCATTTGATGCATCAATATACGAGTACACTGCTTTCTATATCAACTGGTCAATAGGAAGCTGTGGGTATTTTTAGCATTCTAGATTACAGTATGTAATCATTTTCTAGAATCGTCTACTATAGCTTCAATCATTTTCAGCTGAATATTTTGTTCATCTTCACTACAATTGCAATAGATATTACTTATTTCAGAAGCAAAAATTAAATTTCCTATCTGACTTTCCTAAAGCTTATCCTGGTTGATACATATTTAGATTTTTCTAATAGTGAGACTTTTTATTTGATGCATCAATATATATTGCCATCAATATGCTATATTTTCAAATGGTGAGAAAAATATGAAGATGTAGGTATTTTTATGTAGTTCCATCAGCATTCTGAAATACAGAACCCAGTTTCTAGAATCGTCTGCTATAGCTCCAATCTATGCAAGCTGTAAATGTTGTTCATCTTTACTACAATTACAATAAGATTTTGTTTATTTCAATTCCATCGTTTATATGTATCTGTTTTTTTCCACTTTCTGCTATTTGCCAGTGCTTTGACTTAATACTTATCAACATTTAAAAGTAAATTTTATTTCCAATCAGATGATCAGTCAGCGAGTTCAAGACGTCTGCGTCTCGAAAATGAGCGCCTGCAGGCAGAAGTAACGCGGTTGAGGAACCTCCTTCAGCAATCGGGCGATATTGACACTTCTGAAGAGGCCGATCTCGAAGGCAACGAAAGAATGCAAGCACTCGAACACGAATTGCGCTTGGCGAAGGAAGCTGTTTCGGGTAAATAAGATAAAGTAGTAGTACGTATTACGAACTGTATATTTATATATAGCTTATTATTAGTTTGTCATTGTATTTTAGTTTTATTATTAATTTTTCATTCGAAAGTATTATTAAAAATAATAAAATAATAAGATTGTTTTTGTCAGAAAATCCAATTTGTTAAGTTTTGTCGATATTTCAAGCCATTTGAATTATTGGAGATTAACATTGATGTATTTATATATAATGTTCATATGTACGTAAACCAAAATTTGACTTTTTGTCAAATATTTGTGAAAAACAACTGCACTGGTTTAAAAAATTTCGATGAAACTGGATAAGGAATCGCGTTGTTTAATTTTTCGAGGCAATTGTCTGAGCCGTTTCTCAAAAATTAGCAGTTTTTTTCTCCAAAATTCCTAGACAGTATATGAAAATTTAAAAACCGTTTCAAAGTTCGTGCTTGCTAGTTTCTGCTAAATATCATCTGAGCTCTTTTTTTAGAATTGGTAGAAAAATGCAAACAAGTTTATGCTTGTTTTTGCCAAAAATCTCGTCTATATTTTGAAAATTTAAAAGCCCTTTTAAAGCTATCAGTTAGGGATCGTGCTGATTAATTTCTGGTAATCGGTCAGGGCGTCTTATCGTAATTAGTTATTGAAAAAACTGACTATTTTGATGAAACTTCGTACGATGATACATAGATAGCATGGTCAGTTTCTTGTCTTTATGAACATACTTAAATATTATAGGCCTACGACAAATAGTTCAATTATGAAAATTAATTAAGAAAACACAACCTGTATGTACCAGGCGCCTTTTCAAGTAAACTATTTAGAATATTGGTCAAAACTAACTAGCATCTTTGAAAAACGTACAAAATTGAATAATCTGCAATTGTTCCTAACGATATAAAGCCTTGCAGATTCTCGGTATTCTTATAGAACTCATAAAGTATTATATTGATATCTTATTGATTAAGTCGATTTTTTTTACACATGTTGGAAACTTCGTGCAAATTTTGTACTTTATTAATAGCTTCATATTTTAGCTTAATTTTATCACAATCATTATTTATTTATATCAAAGCACTTGAACCAATATAATAATTATTAGCAGTATAAAACTTGTCCGCAAAATTATGTGAACTTTTCTCTTTTCTCTGTATATCATGTATTTTAAACATTGTACTTTTTCATATTTATCCTGTATCATACCTTATATTTCAAAACATTCACATATATTTCAAAACTCTTTAATCAGATCTTTTCAGCACATCTCAGAGTCTATGTCTCTGATCTATATTGAGCGTTTTACTAGTTTTTTTTTGTTAGTCAGATGATGTTCTATAGACATTATAGTATTCTTTGTGACGAATGATAATACATACATTTGAAAAAATTATCTTTTTTATCCAATGAGTGTACACATCTTCAATACAAATTAACCTAATTAGTAAAGCTTTATTCTTGAAAAAATCAACACCAATTCATTCTTTAAATTATGTTAAAATGACGAAATTAGAAATTTTGATAAAATAAATAAGCACTTCAATATGCAATCATTATGCATTTAATACTTTATAATACTCGGTTGTGGATAAATAATCCAAACTTTTTAAACATATTGTAACCAGTTGGCGGAAAGGAAATATACAAGCTGGAAAGATACTTTTCTGAATACTACATTATGTAAATTGAATTTCTAACTTTTCGTGGAGTTTAATATAAGAAGGCAATATAATAAACTTGTATTTAATTAAGCATTTTGCTTCGAATGCTTTATTTAATATGAATTTTCTACATTTATATTATATTAAATTCTCGGTTCTACTTGAATTTTACGCATTATTTTATGAATGCTTCGTAATAAGCTTATTATTGCAAATATGAAAAATTATTAATAAATTTGACATATTTACATTACAATTATTACATTATTATTGCAAAATCATGAATACTAATAAGTTTAATCTTTATTTAATATAACACTTATTGTTTATTAATATTTTGCTTATAACTTTCCTTTCTCTCAATTTTTACATATAAACTAAATTTATATTTTACTTATTGACAATTATAATTATTCAACTAAATTATTTATTACAATGAAAATAATTATTATAACATATATAAAAATTGCAAAATTTAACTAAATTATTTAACAATTTCAATAACTAAAATTTTAATTATATATATATATATATATATATATATATATATACACGTAATACATGTGTGTTTGTGTTTTTATGATTAAACTTCTAGAAACATTATATGATTTTATTTATATAGGGGGGAGACTAGGTACGGTTGTGCCACTTTTTTTGAATAGCTATAATTTTGTAAGTGAATTAAATGGTAGTTTGAACATTTGTGTACATGGAAATATTAAAATACTGTCATTAAATACGATAGATTAGTCATTAAATGAAATTATGCAAAAAAGGGATGTTTTTCACCGTATTGGGTGTTAACGGCATGAAAATAGGTTAAAAAACAATAGTTATAACTATCAAAATTGTTTATAACGACTTTTAATGTCAGAAATATTTAATGAAATTTAAACGGAACTGATGAATATAATTTTACAATATATATATATATATATATATATATATATATATATATATATAACAAAACATATTATTTTAAACAAAGTTTACAAGAAACCTTTGTGAAATCTTGCTACTTCATTTTTTTTCCTTTCCCTTTCATATTTTGTCTCATTATTAGTAAAGTTAGATTTTTCTTTATCTGTTTTATTTTCACCCAAAATCTTCACATGTCACAACCATACCCAACACACACTTTTGAAATCATCGTTATGACTGAGATAAACTATCTACTCAAAAACTAATTGCTGGTAATCGTCTATTAACGTTTAAATTATAGTAAAATAACACCCAAAGTAATCTATATGTATACAAGTACCTAACACTTGTTATTGAAAGAAATAGAACAAAAAACTTAATTTTGACTCTTTAAAAGCAATGCGGTTTACATTACAGATTATGTCAATGTATGACGCTGACTCTATGCAATAATGTAAACTTGTTCGAACAAACATACTTCATAGTTTATCCTTTTCATTCTATCTAAAAATCAATATGTATAACTTAGCTGTTATAATGGCTCTCCCTATACCGTACCCTGGTACAACCGTACCCAGTCTCCTCTACCAATTATATTTAATATTTTATTTCAAATGTATTTAATCTCTACAAAACTACCCCTACAAAAATATTTAATATTTTATTTCAAAAATTTTACTGTGTATTCTCAAAACATGCATAAATATACCCTTAAAATTTTAAATAGATGGATTCACTAGTTTTTTTTTTTAATTTCTAAAAATGGCATTCTTTTAGGTTGTCACACTAGGTGTTCCCCTTAACGACTTATTTTTCATTTTCCTATTATGTTTTTAAAATGGGTTCAGTGATATGTATTTTCAGCCTTAATGTGATTTTTTTTAATTACTATATTTGTTACAACTGCTAAATAATTAACATCTAGTTACAGTAATAAACAATTATAAATTTAATAAATAAATTTAATAAAAAGAGCACAAAATAAAGGATAGAATTTTCAATAAAATGATATGCACAGTTAAGTATGTTGATTTAAAATGAAATAAAAGCAAATAATAATAATAATAAAATTGAAAAATAAAACAAATAAAATTTCTGGATAATAGAAATAATATTAGAAAAACAATAAAGTAGAGTGAAAACAATAAGTGAAAGATAATGATAAATATAACAAAATAACAATATTAGAAATAATAATAATAATAATAATAAAAATACCAATGTTAGCGTTTGCAATGAAATATGGTATATTGTCATGTAAATATTATGTTTACTGTTTCTCTATTTGATTAAAAGCTTATTATCCTGTTTTCCTCAGAGCTTCGCATCGAACGAAAGCGCTTGCGGTCGGAAAAGTCTGAATTGCTGAGCCACGTGCGTCAGCTGTGCGCCAGTCTACAGGACAAAGAACAGGAATTAAGGGATTTCATTCGCAACTATGAACAGGTGTGTATGATATCAGAATATTATTAACGAGTTTTTGCTTAGTGGTGCTCAAAATTATTGTCTGGCATTCATAATTCAATATTAAATGTCGTAATGTAAAACTTTTTGTAGCAGGGTAGAGCGGGGTACAATTTGACTCTTAATAAATAAAACATATCAGACAAACAACTATCTGACTGTGTTTATTGACCGTGGTATTGCTATATTAAATGAAAAATCATCAGTATTGGGAAAATTGTTATTGCAAAATATATCAGATAGAGATATGGCAACTGTTGTAAAATGACGTTGATGGACTTAACAGTTGTATCATTAATTTGTACCGAGTTCTTAAAACTTCTTTTGAAAAATATATCAAACAGACTTTTGAATATTATTAAGCAACTGAAAACTAATCAATCATGAATTCAGTTGGTACGTTTTGAAATATGTTTAGTAAACTTCCCAGCTACTGTTTCAACAATGCAAAAATTTGTATTTTTACATTTTTCGAAAATGTGTAACCTGGTCCTTTTTTCGCCATATGTAGGATGAAAAGGGACAGCGAGGGTGCAAAAAGATCCACCAATTTATTTTTAATTTCAATGTGGTTACATAAAAAAACTGTTGAATTTAACTTAAAATCAAGGTAGCCCAATTTGTTTGTGGGAATCAAATGAGCTAGGTGTGAAATTGAGAAAAACAAATGGTTAAGACATTAATTAATTAATATATATTTTTATACAAGGAAATATTTTTTTATATGTTTAATTATTTCCATATATTTGTGGTTGCACATCTTAGCCATTCACTTTAAAATGGCATCGTTAAAAAAATTCGTACTTCACTTGTTTTTAAGATAATGGTGATGGACCTTTTTACCCGCGAACTTATAAGTCTCGCTCTATGCTACTAAATTTGCCATTTGTTGACTTAGCTATTTTTCTTCATACTAAAATACCGATTTAACTAGAGTATTTTTCTGTGTATTTTAAATTACTATAAGTGTTTACTATTCTATTGCTTTTATATTTTATTTCCTTCGCTCTCAAAAATTTCTTAGAACACTTTTTTTTAATAATGCAAAATTATTTAAATTATTGTAGGATGTTGGCCATTGAGTGAAATTTCACAAGTTATTCTATAATCAGTCATCCAATTTTACATTTGATCTAACACAAATATCACAATTTATTGTCATTATGTTTATATATAATAATTTAAAATATATACAAAAAATCTAAAAATAAAAATCTAATCCGAATAAATAATGATAATAAAAATAATTTTTCTGGTTTTAAGAAATCTGTACGTTTATGTTGATATAACTGAAGTTATTTGTAATCATAGAAAATCAAGTATTTCAAATTTGTAATTATGTTTCTAAATCATTCATAAGCAATTTAATAATTTCTCTTTAAAGTTTAAAAACAGCATTCATTTTATATGCTATCAATTATATTAGGGTGTGCGATATATGATAACTTTCATGAAATAAAATAACGCTTTGGGTTTCAATATAGGAATATTCCAACAATTTACAATATGAGAATGATTGATCCGATACCATATCGATTTTTGATTTGAATATATAATATCATTTACATACATCGCATATGTGACTTCTGAAAGCTACTAAATAAATTGCGCAGAAAAAAATTCAACAAACAAATCAATTTGGTATTTTAAAATTCTTGGATTAGTTTTGTACATACTCTTGTCATATTTTGTGTGTTTATTTTAAAATATATATAATTTAATATTTAATTTTTTTTTTTGTATTTCTCTGCGTCTGCTATGGAAGATAAAATAGTTTTGAAAAAACATCTTAATTTACCTTTTTTGTCCGCACAATCACCATGCAATCTATAAATACCATCAATAAATAAAACACTTTTATGTTCATAAAAAAATTATTTACAAACAAAAAATGCAAAATATAATAATTTAAATACAAAAAATTTAAATGCTAAAAAAATTCAATGATCTTTATAGTATGTTGAATGGTATTGAAAGTGGTAGGTTATCATCGCTTTTAAAATTCTTATATTTTTGTTAGAAAATACTCTTATATAAGACGTATATATGGAAAGATCAAATTATAATAACACAGCTTGGATTGCAAATTCTTAAATTAAAAATCTTAAGTAATAAAAATATGTTGAGGGTTTCAGAGAGTATTGTTTCGTTTTCAGAAGGATTATTTTTTTATTATACCTATATTTTAAACCTATATATTAAGAGTATAAAATTTTTATGAGTAACTGATTATAAAAAAACGAAAGTAGCTTCTTCGTCAACAAAGCATTCTGACTATTCATATGGTTTCGTCTACACCACAAATATTTATTCTGGGAAGTTTGCCATAAGTCTACAATCCTCATATGTGACATTTTTACAAAGTCCACAGCAAGTCCCATATACCTACATATAATATGCAAAAGTAGTTTCAATAGAACTGGTTAGAAGATTTTTTTTGCATTTTTTTAATTGTTGTTATCTGCACACGTCACAGTCATAATCCAAATATATTTGACAAATAGAAGCAAAATGAAATTTCGTCTAACGTAAAACTTTTATCTCAATCGTAGAAAGTTGTCGATTGCTTAACGACTCTCATAATAATGACGAAGTGAATTTCCAAGAAAGTTAGGACTCAAATTTTGCGAACCTTTGTAGTTCCTTATGGAGAAACTTTACTTCTGGAATACTTTCGGAATAAATTAAACTTGTTAAGCGTGGTTGGACTATAATTTTTTTGTGATTATGCATGTTAATTCAACTATCATCATCTTTCAAGAACTTCAAGAAGAAATAGTAATTTTTATAAGAATACCGAGTAAATTTCCAATGGATTTATTTGCTCTTACAACTTGCAACGGCAAAAAGACTTTCGAATTAAACTATTTTGTTAGTTCTCGAATAATGAATTGCAAGTTAATTTTGTAATCAAGATATTGCGTCTATGAAGAGCCTTAAAGTACTATTCATTATTTTTTGGTAAGATAATTATTTAAAATATAGTAAAATATTTTATTTAATCTATTTTTGTATATTTGATATTGTAAATAAACTTATTCTAATGCGTAATATTCTTACTTTTAAGCAAAATTTATTTTTGTTTTCTTAGTTCAACAATACCTATTTTGAATTTAAATTATTTAATAAACTGCAAAACTTGTACTCGTGGCTGCAAAAATTAATTCTTGAGGTATGTCACATACTTCTTTTATTTTCCATGAATAAAATAATATTTAAATAGTTGTTATAAGGATAAAAATGCATTGTATACAGTGCCTGTATCAAAATTCTGGTAACGATTATCATATAACATGTATTTCTTATAAGACACCTATATCATATTCACGTATGCCTAAACCTTAAATTCTATGTTGTACGCCCTTTAACTAACTATATAGTACGCCTAATACGCATACAACCCTATATATATAATACACCCAATATTATTCCGTATCTTACACCTATAATGTTTCTTAAACGCTAATTTTTCCGAACCCTACCGGGAATCGAACCTGGACCCTCTGCGTGGAAGGCAACGACCTTAACCACTAGACTACCGTGGCGCTATGATTTGACGTCTTTTTTTCGCGTGTCGTCGCTCCACCTTAGTATTCATTACTTAATTAATCGGTAAAGGTACCGTGGAAGAACAGTGCGTCTCTTACAAAATTATTTGTGGGGGACCCAATAGTGTAGTGGTCAAGGCGCTCGACTGCCACGCGGCGGTCCCGGGTTCAATTCCCGATCTAGGCGATAGACAATAGAGTATAAGGTAGAGACAATAGATAATAGATAAGAGTAAAATATAGCGTATAAACGGTAGAATGTAAGGTTTGTAAGGGGTAAAAAGATACGTAGGGTGTATGTTATATATAATAGGTTAATAGCAAATAATGATGAAGCGGTAATAGATTTATATATAAATGTAGGAACTGATGATCTTAGGTATCGTACGATATAATTAGATAGGTAATAATTAGATTTAAGTACTTTAACGATTTGTAATATAGATATTGGGTACTTATATATAAAAAAGAGTGCGTCTAAGGTTCATACGCGATTGAAGTAAAATTTATTTGCTACTGTACAAGATCGCATTCAAGTAAAAATAAATACAACATATAACAGTTTTGTATAATGTTTCTTAGTAATATGGTAACACTCGTGATGCAAATATTTATTAGTGTCAACCATTATACACATTTATATAATGATAAATTATAAATTATACATTTATAATAGCATTGAAAATATGTATCATATTTAAAAACAATAATGTAATTAAAGTCATACTTCAAAAATGAGATGATCGGTTTGTCATTGTAATTAGGATTTAGAAATTAATCTTCATCAGAGAAATGAAGTAATTACTGATTAATAAATTGTATAATATTCATTCACAACTTCACTCATCATGTAACAATTGTGTTTGAAGAACTTCATGTAATTAAAATTAACATACATTCATTGACTGCTGGTATTTTATTTACTTTTTCGCTGGCAATATAATCTCATTCTTTGAACAGCTGTAATATCTGTCTTGCCTAAAAATATTTTTCCTTTTAATGACTTCAAAGATTTATAGAAACTACGAATAATATAGAAATAATTTCTAATCAATAAACTAACGTTTAGTACAAATGTTTAATTTGTTTTATTATTTTCAAGGAACAGGGTAAAATATTCTTCTAATTCAGGCATTTTTCATTAAATCAAGATTTGTACTACGATGTAATTTTAAAATGTTTATTTATCTATCTATGTCGATTTCCTTGTTGATATCGGTACGCATGCAACGTTGACGCGGGACGCATACAGCAACAGATATCTATTGACATACGCGACGACTAATCACAATCGGTCCGTATAGAAATGATATCATCGAGAGCAAATGACGAATCATTGGCACTCGACTCATATCTTATCTGCCGTAACGCACTTCCGTTGCATTTGTATGGATTTACACCAAATGATTTACGCCTAAAGAAGTTTTAGTTCAA